TATTAATATTAGTAATAATTAGTATATATATATATATATACACACACACACACACACAAAGGATTGTGTGAAATAAAGAGTTAAGTTGAGAAGCATAATAAAAGATTTGAACTCTTAATCACTTTTAATTTCATGTCCATCTATGAATACCATTTTAGAAGGGAATTAATCTGATACATCTCAGTGCACCTCATTAATGTTTATGATGTTATTGAATCGATATTAAATGCTTCTGCAAGTGTAAAGTTTATGATGTTATTGTATAGAACGAATGTAAGTGTGAAGTAATAAGTTATAAGAATCTTTCTAGTTCACATAGAAGTAACGGAAAAAGAAAGAAACATAATTGGTGACGGAACCTGTTGTATGGAAACGGGGTGTCACAACATGCCAGTTGGTTTTCACGATTTCTATATGATTTGCCTCTCTCTTACTATATATACACATATATAAATACACGCATGTATTAGGTCGATAAGACACTTTTTAAAAGTCTGCTACAAAAAGGTTAATAAAACAATTTTTTTTAAATTGTCCGTATAACTCATTAGGTCGTGTAATTTTGTTGGTTCATTCCAACAATTTAGGAGCCGTTTACCTAAACACTTACCCAGTAAGCACTTATCGATAAAGTTCAACACTATCGCTTACTTATCGGGCAAGATTTTATTCACTAAAACGCATCGTATGCAACAATTTATCCCAGTAAGCGCAAACCATGGTAAGAGTCCTCGTCTTCACTTACTGGGTAATATTCTTAGTCTTTGTCATATTCATCCGGTAAAGTAAAAAGACTTGGATAAGCGTTTGGTAAACGACACCTTACTTAAATGGGTTCAGATAGGACGCCAAATTTTTCTTCTATAAATTTAAATTAAGTCCCTTTTAAGTACTCTATTGTTGTAGTGGTAGATAAACTTTTTGCTAGGTCTTATGATAATTTACTGTAACGCATTTAGATTAGGGGTGTTTGCGGTCCGGTTAGAGGGGTTTAACCCCTCATACCACAAACCAAACCGTAATGGCAGTTTATAAAATTTTTAAACCAAGCGGTTTGACATCAAGTGCCCAGACCGGTCAAACCAGACCACAAAAAGACGGTTTGGTCTGACCGGTTTAGACGATTTGAGCCTTTAATGGACTTTAAATATTAAATTTAAAAAAAACATATATAATTTATAATTTTAGATTAAATATCCATTTTGATTATATTAGATGTTAGGCTTTATGTTGGGTTTAAGAATATATTTGAGCCATAACTCATACGTTAAAAAAGTTGGGCTTGCTAATAACTAAAATAAATAATTAAATATATTTACATATTTATATATATATATATATATATATATATATATAGGGGTGGGTTCAAATAAAAATCACTCAATTTGTAAAAACCATGAAAATTTCATTCAACCAATCATAATTTTTCATTTTGTTCATTTTTTTGTAATTATGAGAGGTTGATTAACCATTTTTATTGTGGAGGATGTTAATCATGGATATTA